GATGATTAACATTTGTTATATTTAGAGATAAAATTAATTATGAAATGAATTGTACAGAAATTTTTCGACAACGTAATTATTCATTTCTTATGTTAAATCAAGCTTTTAATGATGATTCAGGATCATGGTGGTGGTGGATTAATCTTATCGGTATGTAAAAAAATAAATGTGGAAACTTCGAATTTTATCCGAGAGTTATGTGTACTGCAAAAAGTGTATATGGAAATCATAGGCGAATTTTAGTATTTTTTCAATAACTCGGGAATGGTCCGACTAATTAGGCTCATCTTCGAACTCGACCGAGATCTTGATGAGACTGAATTGTGTAGAAATTTTCATCCAAACCTACCTCTCCTTTCGAAACTTATCGTGTAAACGGCCGGACACACTGACCGATTCTAGTAGTGTGCTCACCTTTTGAGTACACAAAAACAAACGTTTAATTATATAAGAGTTTCATTTCTTTTTTTTTAAATATCTTACTAAGAAATATTTTTCTTTTCTATCAGGTACATTCATATTCGGTTTAACTGGTTTAATTGGTAATTTAATATGTTTTTTTGTTGTATGCCGTTTTACAGTATCTCAACATTCATTTGTTGAATATCTTCGTGCATTATCATTATTTGAATTTTTATCATTATTATATGAAGTTATACAATCATTAAATGATTTATCACTTTATTTATTTTCTACAAGTTTATTAAATTTTCGTTATTCAATTGTTTGTAAATTTTATGATTATTTTAAATATACAATTATATTATTATCATGTTGGACAATTGTTGGTTTAACAATTGATCGTTATATACTTGTTTGTAATCCATCGATTAAAAAATTTCCAAAATTATCACGTCGTTTATGTAATGCAAAATGTGCTCGACGTATTATATTATTATTATTAATCATATCATTAATTATAAATATTCCACATCTAATCTATAAAGAATGGCGTTGTCGTCCAACTGGTTTTCAATATAGTGCTATTTATAATCAAAGATTTAATTTAAATCAAACAAAAAAGATTTTTTCAAAACAAATATGTTCATGTCGTATATCATCATTAAATAAATCAAATCAATTAAAATTTTTTGTTTTCTGGCATAATTATATTTTTCATCTTTTATGCTATACAATTATACCAGCTTTTTTTTTAATTATAAGTAATACAGGTTAGTTAAATTTTACTAGAAAAAATTCTTAAATAATATTTTATTTATTTAGCTATTTTAAGACAGCTTCATGCTCCTCGTCAAATTGTAAGTAATCAAAATGAACATATACGTTCAAAATTAACTCGTACATTAACATTATTATCATTAATATTTCTTTCATTATATTTTCCATATGCAATTGTTCAAACATTATCCTATTTTGTCATTCGTCATTTACAATACCATTGTAATATTCGTTTTGTTTTAACATTACATATATTAAAACGTTTAAGTGAATTATTAAATACTGGTGCATTGGGTATAAATTTCTTCTTATACATCTTAGGTGTTAAACATTATCGTTCATCAGCTATACGGATGTTAGGTTTAGATCATTACCAAATATTTTATAAATATTTAACAACTGAACATCAAAATAAAAAAATATTAAAGAAAAATCATCCAATTAAATGTATAGTTCAAACAAATTCTACAAAATTTAAAATATTAAAAGTAACATCAACGTTATATAACAATTGTTGATTATAAAATAGTCGAAGTATTTTTTTTTGTATATATAATAAAAAAAAAACAAGGAGCAAAACATATTCATCATTTTTCTAGATCAAGCAGAATCAGTTTTTCTTTTCTCTACGAATCTATCATCCGAAAATAATGTTATATATGTTGAATGCATTGTTTTCTATTTGAATAAAACAAAGTTATTCACCGTGATTAATCGTGTGGGAGTCGTTTTATCAAAAACGTCTAGTTTAAAGAATTACATGTATTTAATATTATTTTATTGTTCAAATAAAATGTAATATTAAATGAACTTTTCAAAGGTTATTATAACTTTTATATCTAAAAGGATTTGTTTGTTTTTGCTATAAATAACTAAGAAGAAAAAAGGATAGAATTTACTCCACAACATTTCGTTGTTCTTATTGTTCATTTGTATGAGTATATATTAAATATTTATATTGTAAAGTCATTAACAAGTATTTGTTGAACAGAATAAGTTTTATAAAATAAATAGATGTTATATGAATAAGTTATAGAGTAGAAAGGGAAATTGAAAATAGAGAATTTTTCATTATTGACATTTCGATCAAATAAATAATATATAGAACAATTGTCACACTATTAACTATATAAAAAATGACTCGCTTAAGCATTTGATAGTGTTTCGATATAATTGACAGTTTAAATCATCGATAATGAATTACATGGTGTAATTCCATATGGATTTCAATCTGAAGAGTTTTATAAATATGTTTATAGAAGATGTCATGTAGATGTAAATAGGATAAAAACGCTTATTCAAACATCCTCTCAAATATTAATACTAAGTATGAGTAAATAGATTTTCTTTCTCTTTTCAGAAGTAACCTCGTTTCTAAGAGGTTATAACAGTAATACGTGTCAATAATCCTTTAGTTAAGATATAAAGCATTATTTAATTGTTTGATATAGAAATTTTGAAGCTATTAATAAATGTTATTTAATATAATCAAACGCCATAGTTATAAATGACCTACATCCTATGACGTCAATTATCATGTTTGTTCATAAAATAAATACGTTTCTTTTATCTCGATTACTTCCGTCTATAAACTTAGCGAATAAGAATATATCTATATAAATAAATACATCTGGTGAGCAAATTCATAAACTAAGAATGAAAACTGTATTTTTATATTGAGTATGAGTATGATCATCTCAATCAGAAGAAAAACGAGCAAATATTTCTCATTTGATTTTCGTTTTCTTTCGAAATGTATTGAATTATTCGATATTTGAATTGAGATTATTTATATCGACTGATTTATTCTACGATTTGATTTCGTTAATGAACATTGAATATTGTTTATTGGGAAGAGAGAATTGTTTTCACTTGAACCCAATTAATATAAAATATATTTACGTCGATATTTTCAACATATTCATCGAACTGTTCTTATTTGTATTTAATTCTTTAACAAACCGATGTAAAAGCGAGATGAATTAAAGATATTCGATTGTTGGTCTTAAATCTTGACTAAGATCGAACCAATTCTATGATGAAAATAATTTATCTTCGATTTATTTATCGACCGAATCAAGTTTCATTGGATATTTCAAATTAAACAATTTTATTGTTTTACGACTCGAATTGTAGACGATTAATTTGCTCAGTCAACTTTTAGTTTAAAAATAAAGATTTATTTCAATATGAAAATTGCAGTAGAACAGAATAATTTTCTTTTATTGAAAATATTGATTGAAATACCGATCATTAATCAATGTTCAAATCAACAAGAATTCGTCAGTAAACGAGTCAAGATATTCTTCGAGAATATGATTTCGATTCGAAACTAAAACTCGATTTTATTTTAAAGATCGATCAATTTAAATATTCCACGATCCTAATTAACTGTCGTTTAATGTGTTCAAATCCAAGATTTAAATTCAATTAAATTTGAATTTTTACTCCAAGGATTAGTCAGTCTCTATTTGAAATTAATCGAATAAAATATTTCATCAATCGAAATCACTCGATAATCGACAAATATTTTCTGTGTTTATTTTTCAATTAAATGTTTTACTAATTGTTTCATTGATTCAATTTTAAAAACATAATTGACCTTTATTTTTAATCATTTGATTGTTTAGCAAGTAGTCTATATTCTTGTTACTTTTGATCTGCTAGTAAATACTATATTTTAGATTATCATAATATAAATTTTCTAAATGAATTAATTGAACGAGAAATTGTTTCTTTCTTTTTTCTCATTTCATTCAATAAATGTCTTGCATAAAGACCAAATATTTAGGATTGTTTTGAACAATATTCATATGACCAAAGTTGATTACATTGTTTATTATTAATTTTTTTTCGTATTTGAGAATGAAGTATTAGAATATTATACTTTTACGATATGTTTTTTTTTTCATTTGATAATTTAATATTTGATAAGATTATCTGTTGATGATGATGACAAAATAAATGGGTCTAGAAATTAATTGAATAAGATTTATATTTTAAAAGATTTCTTTTCAAAATATTCAATGTTCAATTTATAATTATTTTCTCAATGAGACCAATATTGTTCTAAAGACTTATTTAACTCAATGCATAAATATTTCTTTTTCATATAGTTAATTAATTAAGTTTGGTTGTCGAAAAGAAAATGCAATAGGATTTATGATAAAATGTGTAGCCATTTGTTAGATATCTGAAATTGATTTTAAGTAATTATTAAAAGCATAAAGAATAAGAAAAATAAATCTACAAAAAGGATTTGTTTTTGTGTACATTCATTAATATCCTTAATTGTATTTGATTTAATAATTTATTTTTTATTTTTCATTGATATACTCTAATGTTAATTGAAAACAATCTATTCATTGTTCATAAAATTGATAAACATTTTTTAAATATAATTTAACACAGATACGTAATATTTACTCAATTTTACTAATCAAGAAGTTTTACCATAACCTATTATATGAAGTTGAATCCATTTTTTGAGATTTGTATTTGATCGCTAATGTATTTAAGAAAGAGATTGATTATAAATTGAGATCGTTGTTGTTTCCAATATAATATGGTCAATTGCTTTTGCAAAAACATTATGTTCAAATGATAATTTATGCAAGATTAAAAATTCTTTTATAATAAGAAAAACAAAATCTTTTTTTTAACGTGAATAGTTTACTCTTTTATTGTATACATTCCTCTGCAAAAAACAGCTGAAGATTTATTGTGCTACTAAATTATATTATTTAGCAACATGAAAAAAACGAAATTAATCGAGTTTTCTTCAGAAATAAGTGTTCATATTGTAATTAAAATAGGATTTGTTAAGTAAGAGGAAATTGGAGAATACGATTATTGTTAAAATCGGACACATAAAGAAACGCTTCATTTATAGGATCTAATGTAATGGCAAATGGGCCATTGAGCTCAGTAGGTGTAACACCAGGTGAACCTGCTGGATCTCCAGCGACAGTGACACCTGCCGTTGCATTAATATCCCATCTTTGTACTCTATTATTTCCATAATCAGCTATATAAATTGCTCCGTTCTTTTGAGATACACATACATCAAGTGGATTTGAGAGTTGATATGCTGCTGGACCAGGACCATAACCACCCGCAACTGTGCTACCAATATTACTTCCATCAAGATCAAATCTTTGTACTCGATGATTTGAAGAGTCAGCTACGTACAAAAAGCTGTGCTGCTGATCAATAGAAATACCAGACGGATAATATAACTGTTGACTGGTTGAGCCTGGGGAACCGGAAATACCGGCTACCGAGCTTGGGATCGGACCAGTCCATCGAGTGATCCAATGGCATCCTTGACCAGCAACATATATACTTCCATTACTATCCACACTTATTCCACTTGGTGCGTTGAAATACTGTAGTGAACAGGACTGAAGGTAGGGTGCTGATAGAGGAATAGTGGCGTTTGATGGCAAAATTTGAACCAAACTTCCGGCTGGATTACCCACATAAATAGAATTTTGATAAGCCATCACGTACGACGGATACTGCCCACTAGGTGTTGTCATTATTACCGATCCTGTACTTTTCTGAAGCAAATTAAACGACAAAACGCGCGCATTGCCTGCATCAGCTACGATTAGAGTAGTGCCATTATTAATTATAGCAAGACCACGAGGAGTATTTAACGAATCAGTTGTCGAACCAGCTGTGCCATCAATTTGACCAGCAACTGTTGTTCCCACCGATAAGGTTGTAACTGAATAAAAAGAAAATAATTTTAGTAAAACACATTGGCTGGAAACTCATTAGAGATGATTTTATCTTACATTATACATGTACAAAGATAAAAATATAGTAATATAAAACATCTTACTCGCACAGTATGTAAACGTATTTATATAGGTCGGTAAGCAAGTCAAATTGAAATCTTTACGACATGCATCTGCTTGTGTACATGTTTGATTCTGAAACAGTTGTAAAAGACATTCACTGCCATTCCAATAAGTATGGGGAGGACATTGACAAATATTATTTAAGCATTGTTCATAACGACTATCAACACATGCTTCACACGGTTGATTATGTGTTGAAGCATACGTATTCGATGATAATTCTATACTCATTACAATTGAACTTGCTGAAGATGAAGTAACAATGGAACCTGTAGTTAAATCACCTTCATACAATCGACATCGTTGAGAAATAGAATCATAATCGAACGTACGACAAGCCCATTGATTGTGACATGCAATAGCACACCTCCGTCGATTTGATGCCATTGTACTAAGTAGAAGTTCACTTGAATCGATTGGAAGAAACTCACTACCTGGCTGACTAATAACATGCATTCGTGATATCGTTGCATGTAAAGATGGTAAGAAAAGACAGAGAATTGTAAGTATCATTGATGAGCGTGACAGTAAAACTGAAATTGCAATATGCTAATGTATTGTCTTTATAAGAGAAAAGTACATCATTGGAGAAAAAAAAGAATGTACTTTTTTAAAGTGTAAACAAAATAAAAAAGATGGCTATTATCTTTTCCGTATTGTCATTAGAGCAATACATTAAATAATTGCAATTATTACCTTTTGAAAAGGATGTTTTTTTTCTATGAAGTAAACTTCAGTTCAAAAAGAATAGTCTTTTTAAACACTCGGTAATTATCACATTAAATTTCATAATAAAGTGCATCAAATATATTCTCCTAATGTTTTGTTTATGAAAGAATCTTAAAAGAGATTTTTACTACTTTACATGAATTTCAATATTTTTGTGAGCAAGTAAATTACTTTAACGGCAAAAATTATTAAAATAGAAATTATCCGACTGAATGTTTTATTAATTTCATAAACTCCTGACAAACGAGTTCAGAAATGGATTCACAAAAGCTCAGTAATGCAAGTGCGCACCTTTTACTGAATATTATTGAGTTAAGACAATTCGAAAACTTGGTTGATGATTATGAAAAAGTCGTAAGTTTAAATTAATAAAAAAAATGTACTATGTTATTTTCTTTGTATGATTAAATTAGCTTTCATCACATCGAGAATAAGACTGTGAACTTGAATTGAACTCGATTAATTTACCTTTGTTCAAAAAATAAACAACTATAACAATTATTCTTTTATTATACGTAATAAAAGTACTGTTCACACATCCTCAAGGGCATACGTAAGCTTTATGATTGAATATATCAGCATAAATTAACGTCTCATACGCCGACATAATCAAATGTTATGGTCATATTTGAAAATAAGTAATGACTTTTTACGAGGATTAGAATAAAATTTGAATTCACCTATCTCATAAGATTACAATAATAAGTCTCCATGTGTCTGATACACAATACAAAATATATTCTTGCGCTCCTCTTATCTCTCGCTTGAAGCAACTCAATTCAAAAGATTAACACTATCAGTTAGTCAACAATAGAAGAAATAAAGACAGTGGTGTGCATTTTCTTTTCTACCATAGCATGTGTAACATGAAATTACTTGTTGTTGTTGTCGTCGTATTTAATATACACTTGGTATGCTCTCTGCCGATTTCATCAAATACCAATAAACTTCAGCCGTTTTTTCTCCAACAAGTTCATCTTATTGAGTCTATCCATTCGCCTAGTCTCGCTGGACAACAATTGAATCAGGCTTATTTGGATATTTTACCAGTCGATCGTCTACTCTATACTTATTACAAAAATGTCAATTTGAGTGTAGAAGGTATTGAACCATTAGGCGGATGGGAATCACCAAGCAGCGAGATTCGAGGAGTTTTTCTAGCATTCTATCTACAAGCATCGGCAAAAGCCTATCTGGCCTATAATAATACGCATCAACTGGCGAAAGCACAGTATCTTGTCGAACAATTGTATCGAGTACAACAGATTCTTAACGAATCGGGTTTCCTTGCTGCATGGCCATCGGAGCATTTACGCAGATTAGAACGTCTGGAAAAAGTTTGGGCGCCAATCTATTGCTATGAAAAACTTCTTCGCGGTCTTTCCGACATGAACACTATGACCGGCCTCACTTTAGCTGGCACTATGATGCGATCGATGCTTGAATACCTATACAATTGGGTTGTTCACTGCGTCAAGACATATCCTACATCGCATTGGCACACGATGATATTTAGTACTACTGATTATGAATATGGTGGTATTAGTGAGTTTCTCTATGAACAATACGGACTCACTGGTGATCGACGTTTCTTGTGGATGGGACAACAATTTGACGATGGGCAATTTCTTGGGGCACTCTCACTCAATTCTGATTTCCTCACTGGTATTCATGCTAATTCACATATACCACCAGTATTGGGTAGTGGCCAGCGTTATGCCGTTACTGGCGAACCACAGTATCGAGCAATTCTTGAAAATTTCTATTCGATCGTATGGAACAACCATACTTATTCAACTGGTGGATCGAATGGTGGTAATGATTCAGTAGGATTCTTTCAACGTGAACATTACAGCGATGCAAATCTTCTGTCACAAACTCTATGGGATAATAATCAAGAATTCTGTGTTCAGTATAATATGCTAAAAGTAATTCGAGTTTTGATCGAGTGGACTGGTGATGCGGAATATGCCAATGCCTACGAACGAGTATTCGTCAATAGTATTTGGGGTACGCAAGATCCAAGTGGACCCGGCCATATGTTATATAGTTATCCATTGGGTGAGGGTGTCAGTAAACCGACCTCGGTTAGTAGTGGCGGTATTGGCTATGGTTCTCAGTTCGATAGTTTCTGGTGTTGTTACACGACGGCTATCGATCAATGGACCAAAATGAGTGATTCAATCTACTTCTTCACAAATCAAAATGATGTTCCTTCACTTTATGTTAATCTGTTTGTTGCCTCGCAAGTCGACTGGTATGAACAACAACATATCTCTATTCGACAGGTAACCGCATTTCCTCGCGAAACAATTACAACTTTGATTGTGAACACGTCAGTCGATGCTGTTCCACTCAATATCTATATACGTGTACCATCGTGGATCGTCGCTAGTGACTCCTGGATTGAGATCAATGGAATTCGGCGACAGATCGAACTGATTCCTTCAAGCTATGTTCTTCTTCCCATCACTCAATGGAAAGCAAATGATCGTATTGTCTACAATATGGCCATGCGCATACATGCAGAACCAATCAATGATAATCCGCAGTTAGCATCCATTCTATTCGGCCCTGTTGTCCTTGCCGGTTTAACCAAATCTGCAAAGACATTGCCACGAGATCTAAGTTTAATTCGAAAAGTAAATTCGACCGTGTATGAACCGATCAACTTCGAAGCAACCGCTTTAGATGGTTCCATTTTCGAACTGTTACCTCTCTACGAAATTGTCAATGAAACGTATACAGTTTATTTTCCACTCGGTTAAACACTGACTATTTTTTTTATTCTTTTTCAAAACTATATATTCAAAATTTTATAAATAAAACATGGAGAAAAATTTTTCAATGTCATACGAAAATCTGGTAGGATGTGGGTGTGGGTTGGAACAACGGAGAAATATGCTATCTGTAACTACATCCATACCCTTTTGTAGTTCATCACGAAGAAGACAAAAAAGGGACACCCACACCCTCAAGATAGATTTAAAAATACTAAGAAATTTTAATGTGTCAAAAAAAAGAGCGGTAAGTGCAATACATAAACATCATTATTTTGATTCAAGGTGTTTCTTCGATGTTTGGATAAAAAACTGCACCTTGGCTTCGTCCATGCAGATTTGCGGTTCTTTTTTACCATCTAGATAAAATCCACCATTTTCCAACTCATGATTCGGAGTATCAACTACATACAAGATGGAATCCGCGCCGAGTGCAGCTGGCCGAGCTCCGGCAGCTTTATTATTAAGATCCGTTGCACAATAACCCGGGCATACAGAATAAATAAATATATTTTGAGCGCCAGAATATTGACGTGCTTCAATTCGAGTGAGAGCAATCAATGCAACTTTCGAGACACCATACGCTAAGTAAGGTAAATCAGGACGATATCCAATCTTCTCTACATTGTTAGATTCATATGCCGAAAGAAATTCTTCTACAAGAAGATCGAGTTGTCCTTTAGTTAATGTTTCGGATGTATATTTTTCTTGGAGATCTTTGGAGAAACAATGTAATGCCATTGGACCTATGGAACTAGCCACATTGACCACACGACCATGTTCACGTAAGAGAGGAATCAAATGTTCATTAAGCATTTTAACACCATAATAGTTGGTAACCTGTGTTTCTCGGGCAGCCTGAATAGTATTATCTCTTGGTACAATACCAGCATTATTAATAATTACATCTAAATGACCACCATATTTTTGTTTTATTTCATTAGTAGCAGTAGCAATGCTTTCCTTGGAAGATGTGTCTAATTGTAGGAGATGTACATTTGGTGGAGAGCCTAGCTGTTTCAGAGCATCTTCTCCACGTTTTATATCTCGACTGCCAAGAAGAAGAATATCTTTGCTATTCGAAGACGGTTGCTCAATGAGTTTCTTCACAACTTCAAAACCAATGCCTTTATTCGCACCTGTGATCAAAATAATACGTTGTTGTTGGTTTGTTGACGCCATGTGGTTTGTGAAAATAGCTTACGTCAAGTTGTATACCTTTATTTTACAGGAGGAAAAAAAAAGTAACAAGTATGATTATAGACACAATTTATTTTTTTCTTCGTGTTGCATAGTGATTGGCAAAATCCGACTTCGACTTGGATTCCTTAAAAAAAAATTATTTTTAACTTTGATTCTAATTCCAACTTTAAGAGTAAATTTTTTCGAATTCCGAATCCAACTTTGACAAAATTCCAAAATTTATATTCGTAATTAAGCGACATCTGATTCATATGAATGCGTGATATCGTGATAGGATAGCAAAATCAGTGAATTTGTTTTTGTAAATTGTTTTCAGAAACAACAAAAACATTATAAGTAAAAAGATTTTAACAAAAAAAAAGGGTGAGTGAGGGTGTGAGTAAAATAGAATTCCCACACTCTCAAGACCCAACGAAATTCGATTTTTAATAATAATTTTTATAATGTCTAACTTATTTGAAGCAGAAAAAAAATTACTGATCAAGACATTCTATAGAAAACTAGATTAAATGGAAGATTTTAGTATATGAGGGTGTAAATCTTTTTGTACGCAGGTGTCAATTGGTTCAAATTGAATCCAGTCACTTATGCCTGTCTCACGAAAGCCCATTTTAGCTGCTAATCCCAATGATTTTCGATTATTTAAAGCTGTATAACCAAATACACGTTCCTGTCTTTTGAATATTTCTGCTGTCAACCGAACACTCAATAAAGACGAGAGTCCAAGTCGACGAGCTTCAGGAATGGTATACGCCATGTCGAAAGAACCATCGTATAACAAGAGTCGCCAACAAAGAAGTTTGCCACTACGATAAGCACCTTGACAAAAATTTAAAATCAAAGTTGTGTCTGAACTGCTGATATAAATAGCCAAAAACTTACCCATGCTGCATAAATTTTCGATACAAAATTGAGCTTGAGCAACTGAATACAGATCATCTGATTTATACTTCCAAGCCTCGACCATCAACGGCGCATCTTCTGATTTCAATTGTCGAATTTCAATTCCTATAATTACAAATCAAGAGTAGTTTTACATTCATTTTCAAGTATATAGCTACCTTCTGGAACTGTTGATGGGAGTATTTTCGATTTTTCCAAAAATACACTTTGGTCTAGTTCAAATTGAATATGTGTCAATATTTCGTAGTTACCAAGTTTCTTCTCTGTCACAAATTGTTCGATCACTGGTGTGATATAACGTTGATCAATACCACAAAAATTGAGTTTCTGTTTCCATGGAACACATTTTTTTAACAGCTCAAGTAGAATATCATTTGTATATTCTCTATCGAAAGCAATTGCAATATTTCGAGTATAGTTTTGAACAACATTCCAATGGGGAACAAGACCAGGTGTAGAATAAAGTATTATAACACATTTGATTTCAGTCAAATGATTAACAAAGACCTGAGCATAAATATCCTCTCGAGTAACAACTTTTTGGTAGATATATGTGAGTAATTGCCAAGGAAGAATGGATTGAGGTAATTGAGACTTCTAAACTCAGAACAAAAAAAGATACATATCATGAAAATATTTTGAAACAAAACAAAACTTTACCAAAAATTTTAACACTGTAAAAACGTCGTCTGTGTTACAAAGATTCACCTCAGTACACATGTTTTTGATTCACCTTCTACACAACAGAGCAATATAAAATGCCTTCAGGAGGTGGTATCTCGTATGAAAGTGACTACACTAGTTTTCATTCCTTATGCAAATAGTTGAGTCAGTAAGCATCTCCAGATAAGACACTACTCTCACTTGTATTCAGGGCATCAGTGTGTGAGTGAAAGGTATACATAGCTATTCTATATTAGTCATATATAACAAATCTATTATAAAAAAAAGCAATAAAAATCTTTTTTTGTCATCCTCTGATAACAACTTGTTATTAGATGTTTCAAAATCGATGTGAGTACCGAAAAATGGGAATGATTATTAATGAATCATATACCTAATTTACACAAATTCAAGTTTAAATTTAATAGCTATCTATTGATATCTATTCCTATACATCATTCTGAATTCAGCAAGAATGAAGTTTGCAAGTTGAGATTTACTTTTATATTATTATATTTTTTTTTCTGACAAAAAGATGGCATATTTCTCAAGTATACGTCTAACTATATAAAATGGTGATTCAGACGAATTTGAGCAAGCATTCAATAATTCAATTGATATTAACCAATAATAAAATAAAGTAATCATTGTTCAGCAAATGATCAGTTTTTATCAAATAAGTTTTATTTTTCTTATCATGAAATTGACAAAAAAAGAATATTTTAGTTCCTAGATACACTTTCAAATTTAAGACGAAGTACTCAAATCAATATTAGAGTCATCGAATAAGATGATAAAGAAAGAAAGAGTGCTAAAGATTAAACCGATAGTAATGATCAATAAATGATATTCAAGACCAAGAGCGGATGCATAAAGGTAAGCAATGGCTGATGTTACGCCCTGAAATTAACAAATAACTTGAGTGATAAAGTATTGAGAAGAGAATAATTACTTGAACTAGTTGAAATATGGCAAAAGCTGAGGCACTCGTTTCTTTATATCGACTAGCCAGTACATGTAGCAACTGTAATTGAAAGAAGTTCACAAGAAACAAATTATACAAATAAAAGTGACCTGAATGTTTAAACTACTATCACCGAGACCAACTAAAAATGAACCAATGAAAGCTATAATTTGACTTGTCAACGAACTAATTACATAGAAATAGTTTTTGAATATTTCTCGTCAAATGAACTTACTCGAATTTAAAATATGGCTTACTATTGGTCTCTTTTGCTGGTGAATCGAAAGGAAAATTAATAAATACTGAATAATAGAAGACGATTTGTAAGACGAAACCAATAAATATGATTAGACCACGTTGTGATGATGTCTTTGGCTTTGTAATGAATCCGAATAGACCACCACCTATGCACATTAATACATATCATTAACATTATCAAATCATCAATATATAACTTACCCAAAATCTCACCGACACCCAACAACACACCGTGTAAACCAATCAATCGTTTTCGAGTACCTGTAAAAATCAATGAATCTCCTTAATATATAAACATAAATTAAAGTCTAACCTCCATACTTGATGAAATGACCAATACATGTTGGATAAACAGTTTGAAAGAGAGTTTGTGAGAAGCCTACAATATATATTTATGTTTCTAGTTAATAAATAATATTTGTTCGTCTAGTTCTATCTAACTTGGTTGTGTGACTATATCAAATTTTTACCCGTATATGCAAATGAAATTAGAAGAAGAAGCATATTTCGAGTTTTCAAAAGTCGAACAGCAATTTTTAACGTTTCAATAATATTGGCCATGGTTATTTTTTCTTCTTTATTAGATGATTGTAAATTTGATTGACGGTGTTCAATAAATGTACGCCAAATAATCAGAGCAAAAAAAGCAAGACCAACAGCACAAACGATAGAAAAAACAGCAAACAATGGATATCGTGTTGATCGAGTGATGGTTTCTGTATTGATCGATAAATACACAAACAAATTACCAGGAAGATAGCTAATAAAAAAGAATGACTAGATATAGAGAATTCCATTCGTCTGCCAATAAAACATACCCGATTTGTAATAAAGCCCAGAAGATACCTGCATTACGACTCACTGTCATTTCATCGGAATATAATGCTAGATAGGTACCTTGTGCTGTCCACAGAATAGCTGCACCGATACCGAGTAAAATCGATACCAAATAAAAAGACCAGATCATTGGAAAGAGAAATGAAAGAACATACAAACTATAGAACAAAATTAGATATTTTCAGTATGGTGTTAGATAGAGATACTGACAGAAACGTTGATCCACCCATGAACATGGAAATAGATGGTCCCAATATCGATATGATAACTGGTGCAAATATATTAGCAATAGCCATGCATGCACTAGCAATGCCAAGACTAAAACAAACTTTAGCTTATACGCATTTATACAAACACACTCACCTGATGTAACCACCACCTTCAAAATTTGTACCATTGATTGTTTCATTCTTGATACCTTCGAACACACTTTGCTGAAGAAGATGAAGTAAAAAGACAAGCGATGATAGATATTTTTATGCATTGAAAAATATTACTGCAAGCATGGTTGTAGCATGAAATGCTGTATATAAAAGCATAAAAGCCAAACCAAGCAAAATAACATTAATAAGATGACTACTCATATTTTATCGAAAATAAAATTGACTAATAACAGCACAATGAGAAGAACATACACATACTTTAACAAACGAAAAAAGTGTTGTGGTGTTATATGAGCAAAGATAAGAATAGAACAAGATGAAAAAGATAACCTACACGTTATTCAAATGAAAACTACCTTTTCTACTCAAATTCTACTTCAACTAGTTTTATTTTGAAAATAAATTAGAGAAATAGCAGAATGCGAAAACAGATTACAAAGTACAGAAATAATGACAAGAATAAATCTTCGATTTAGAGTATCGCAATGAATAACTATACAAACATTAGAATTGCATATCCTTAAGGATATTTTGAAAACACTATCAAATAATCATCTTTATAAAGCTGGACTTTTAAGATGGTATATTACAAGCTATTCAAGTACATGTGTGTGTACATTCTGTAACTATTAGATTGAAATAACATTGTTGTTTGTAATGTCATTTCACTCATTTAATAAATATATCTCCTATAAATTATTCAATAGCAAACAAACTGATACTTTATTTTATTTCTTGATCAAGTGAATTTCTTTATAAATCACCAAAAATGAAGAACAAGGAAAAAAAGGTAAACATAAGAAAAAAGTTGTTAGATATTGTTTCTGTACTTTCGAAGCTCTGGATCAACAAGTAACTTCTCCATTACATCTTTTCTAAGATGCAGAGACACACTCACGGCTTCGTCATACCGATTAATCTTTTCCGCACCTTTTGTATTTCCATTCTCCAGAAGATGCACACATCCATCGACACTAGGCATCAAAGCATTCACAAATCTAGGCACACCTATTCCAAAATCGACCTCATAAGTTTTCAAATGTAGCCATGAAGTAACAATTGTATTTCGGCGACCAAGGAAAGCGTTCCATAATCTATTAGGACTGAGTTCAAAAGCTAACTCATGTAACATGGGACCTATGCTGGATGAGTTGAATTTCGAGAGAGTAGACCGAATAGATAGAGCCATTTTACCGATGGGCTTTATACCAATAGTCGAGACATTGCCAAGTATAATGGGTGATCCAACAAAATTTTCGGAGAGCGGAGGATCGAGTCGAGATCTGAGTCCAAGTGTAACATTAAGATAGATTGGCTGTTGATCGTGTGAAAGTTCTCGAGCTCAAATAATGAGCATCCAAATGTGTGCTAGAAGCGCATCAAGTCGACTGATTCGTATTTCGGAGTTTGATGAAGCATCTTCCCACATGTTCTTTATTTCATCCACAGTAAAACTCACAAGATAGTGAGAGACAGGTGCAGTGAGATCCCATTCTGACCATGATAAAGGTTTACCTAATTTAATAGTGTTACTATCTAATTCAGATGGAATCTTGGTGAGTTGTGCCATGAACGAAGGAGAGCCATCTAATGAAGCCCAACAATCATAACGATGCAAAGGAAGATTACGTGCAGCTTCAATCAGTTTAGGATCTGGATTGGATGCATCAATGTTGCCTGACGCTGCTCGATCTAGTTGTTCAGGCTCAAAAATTGGACACAATGAAGGTAATGGCTCATTGGTAATTAAAGCACGATTGATAGCTGCCCAATTATGTGCGAAACCCATTAACGATTGAGCATCTGCTAACGGATGCGCAAGTTTGATGGAGATGGCTAATCCTCCGCATGCGAAGCTGGTCAACTGAACCATCATTGCTGGCAGACCTTCAAAATGAACTAAATCATGTAGTGCGAGCGAGGAAGCCGTTGGAACCAATTCTGCCAAAGATGTTTCTTCAGGATTCCACAATCCGGAACCTACTTCACGTTCTGCTGCAGTAGGTACGAATGATGAGACGATTTCTGGACGTTGTGCAATGACTACTTCGACGCCTGGATCTGATTTCGCACCATATAGGACGCCTAAACGTTCGAAACGTTGAGTATGATCTCCATTAGCGTTGTAAGATACGTATTGCAGTTGACCAGCCCAATGAGGATATGCATCAAGAGTTTTCTGTAAAGAAATCACGAGTTGTTGTGTAGATACTGTGTGAGTGTCTTTTGGTGGATTGTATATCCACGTGGCGCAGGTAGGAGAGAAATTAGTAGTCGTTGCATCCAATATAGATAAGGAAACATAATGAGGATCAGTTGAGTCTTTGAGATGTGATTCTGGAAATACACGACTGGTGGACATGATGATGTTGTTAAGTGCTACGATAAAAAGAAATGGTAACAGTCAATATTAAAGGAAATAAAGTTGATACTGTTCACATCTACTGTTGATCTAAATATGTATATTCGACAGCTTTGTTACTAGCGACATATACACACGATGGATAAAACACAGTAAAGGACATCTTTCTTTAGTCTCACAAAAGAAAAAAGTTTAAAAAATCTTCAAAACAATACAACATTGACGATAAACATACAGAACCGATAAAAAAAACAGTGTTATGTCTTTATCTATCTGCTAGTGCACTGAATTTAAACATGTTTTTAAAAGTCAGTATCACTCTCAGTAATAATACATACATGAGTCATTATATGCGTAGCTGCCTTATTTTTTTCTATTCTTTACTCGTGATAAGAATATATGAAGTCAGAGTGATGACGAGTTTATAGAGAATAGAAATGATTCTAACCATATTACTATAAACTCATCCTGAGAACTCTTTCTATAATTATAATCTGTTTCTCTGACGAGGAGGAGAGTACATTAATCGATAAATCTGTGTAAAAAAACAGAAGAAACGATAAAAAACAGAACAAATCATTATTCATCAATAAGCAAAATACTTACATGCGTCGACAATGTGCTGAAATTGATGTGATTCTCTTTTTCATAAAAATAATGTATCTTCTTTTCTTTTCTTTTCTTTTCTTCTCCTTCTATTTTCTTTTTGTTTTTGTCCGTTACATACGTGATACGACGCTTCTGCGCATGACAATCCGCGCCGACGTATACGCGCCATTCATATTATTGTAGAATTAGCTGATAAAAAATAAAAAAATGCGATTGAAATGAAATTAAGATAATTAAATTAAATATATCTGAACATATACACCATTTCAATAACTTCTTAAATCAAAAACATAATAAGAGAAGAAAAAAATACAATTGTAGTTGCAACACATACTGAATGAAAAAAATTTCAACGTTCTTTCACGTGAAAATTATTTTAAAATGGCTAGATCGGTCTTTTATTTTTGAATATTTGATTTACTATACATTAGTTATAAAACGTTAAATATAATATATGTAATGTCAAACATTTTTATATCGGGTTATGTTATCTTTGATAAATTTCGGGTGAGTGTGGATGTGTGTGACGATGAGGATAGATGAGCGTGGCGGTTATACCATCCTTAAATACCTTCATGTATATGCTCCTTCACATTATATTTTCTAAAAGTCAAAATCAATAAAAAAAAGACGAACATTAACACACAATTAATTTATTATACTCTATTTATTTAGACGTTCAGAGTTTTTTCGCGCCTCGTCTAGTTCGCATCGAGGTACAAGTGCCTTGTAATGTGTACCAACATTGACGAGAAAAGCTGTATATTCAACACATCCATCGCGTGGATTGACTACCGTAAGTAGTTCACCAGCACGAAAAATGACTAATTGAATATGATAATGATCAGCCACAGCTATATTTGCCATTTCATCACCATATGTATTTGGATCATGCATCGAATCTGCCCAGTTTTTTAATTCTGTCTCGCTTACTCTTTCTCCAGGTCGTAGTACAGTTGAATAATATGATTGATCGTCTAAAACTTGTTGAATAGCTTTGTCACGCATTTCACTGTTGTAAAAATCAGGTTGTTGTTTGCCTAAATGTCGAGATAATATTCGTTTTTTTTCTTATATATAAAATTTGAATTTTTATAGATCATTTACCTGATATAAGTATGGCTCGAAAAGAACATGCCTGAGAAAATAAATAGTTAAAAGAAAAAGAGTAAAACAAACACATAACTTCTTACACCATCACCAGTGACTTCAACAGAATGAAGTCCAAATTGACGTTGTATTTCGGCATCTAAATTGTTCAAATCAATATTTCGATTACTTCGTGCTGCAGTAGTCAATTCAAGAAGACGTTCTCCGTCTGGACCTGCTTGAAGACGTTCATTTCGTTCGGTAGCTGCAATTATCTGCGCCATTTCATCGTAGATATCTGGTATTGAATCAAGTCGCTGAATTGAAATCAATTCACCCAGCAACTCGATTCGTTTACGTATACCTTCAAAATTTGGTTTGAGAAGTCGAATTATCTGATAAACAACATAAAATGATAAAAGTATATAGAAAAAGACAAATGCTTATGCATCTACAGATATGTTAGGTGACTAAATTTTAGAATAATTTTTTGTGAATAACTAAACTTTACGAGAAGAAAAAATTAAGAACAGCATAGCTTTTAATATTATACCGAAGAGTGATCATTGCATTTGGGTTCTTTTTCTTCATATTGTTCAGATTTAGATATTTTTTCATTAATATTGCACATACTGTTAGAAATCGATTCCTTGTTCTGAAAAATTCCTTCAATCTTGTTTGAATCACCTGGTACTGATTTACACTTTTGGAGATTTGGAAATCGTTGTTGATAACTTTCATAATCAGTTGATATCGATCTCAATGTTGGTTCATTGCTTTGATTATGGTCAGATGCTATTTGCTTATTCTGTACACCATCAAATAATAATTTGCTTTTTTGAATAGTTTCTACATTAGATTTGTTGTGTTCGGAGTTGTCATTCGATGAGTGCTCACTTTCGTGATTCTTCAGTTCTTCACTATTTTTATCCTGTATAACAATACAAGAAAACCGCCTCGGTAATGTGCTTTGAGTGGTAAGTGTTTCATACCTTTATTTCATTTCTGTCCAAATATATGTCGTCTGTCATAATTATTCTGTTATTCCTTTTGATTCAGTAACGCTAGAAATAAAAGAATATAAATCTTAATAAAATTCCATTCGATAAACTCTATAGATTATACATACATATTTAGTTATTCAACTTGCAAAAACGTTTAATCCAGTGAATATATATACTCACCTTTCATTAATTTTAGGATTGTAATCTTGTAAAATTTGTCTGCGTTGTCCAAAAATTGAATATTACTTTAGGTACGATATCTAAAATTGAATTATATAGCATTTTCAAATAACACAAGTACAATCTCTTGATAATTACAAGAGAAGATACCTTATTGAATTTATAGTCTGTTTCATTTTTCGAACTATCAATCTGAAGTCGTTTTCACGTAAAATAGACGCTATAGATTGACCGATCTATTTTGAATATACTTAACTAAGCATCTAAACGCTAATCGGATATAGTTAAATAAAAAAAGAAAGAAAAGACAATGAAGTTGCTAGATTTTGTTTAATAATTTTCAAAATGGTTGATATAGATAGAAGTTTTTGCACAGATATATAATGTTCGTTAATTTAATGAATAATACTTGCAACTTGATTTGCAATGTCTAATAAAATGGTTTGTGTTCTTCTCGATATCAATCTTACCGAGACAACTCCAACAGAATCGTTGTCCACAATAATTTCGTCCTCCATGATCGCAATCGCCTTTTGATTCAATACAGGCATGAGATCCAAAACGACAACAAGTCATAACATCACATCCTTCTAATTTCATAATTGGAGTACCACACGCTTCATTAGGGCATTTTTTACTATAAGCCAGAACAGTTACATCAGAAGCTAAATCATCATTTTGCGCTCGTTCCTTATCGAATTCATCGCAACTGTAACCAGTATGCCATTCAATTGAATGGCGAAAGCATAACATTTGATGACAAGCATGGCATGTATAATAACTAAAAATAAAAAAAAACAATACAATAATTAGATCATATGTCAAAATTTTATAAGGTCTTAGCACGAAGATATATTATCATTTTTGGGTGGAAGAATAGATGGATAAGACCATTCTTTCACAACAGAAATTATTATTTGCATTATGAACAGATGAAAAATAGAGACTACCCAAGAAAAAAAACTTCATTGATTGACTATAACTGAAACTAGAAAAAAATTGATTCTATGAGTCTTTAAATCGTTCTTACCCAAGTAGATCCTTATGATTGGATACGAGCTGTCCAGCTCCACATCCCTTGCTTGATTTACACCATCTGAACTCTTCATCAGCTTCAAGAGTACGATGTAACAAGAGATTATCTGTTATATCCGTTAATCGTTTGTCTAGTAAATGATAATATTCTTCTGGCTCAAATTTGACATTACATGCTGGCATCGCACATCGAAATGTATATGAACCTTTCGATTCAATATCAGTAGTAATACTCTGTGTCAAACATGGAATGCAGGAGTTTGCCAAATGTGTACAGTTTTTGGAGATATTGACCAAGTTACTGTTAGGTTCTGAACAAATAGAACATTCACCCTGTCGTTCTTTATAGAATCGAGATGATTTTGCAGACTCATTAGTTTTAGGAATAGCAGAAGGTTTTGACTACAATTAGAATTACAATTCCAAAAATATTTGAAACGGTTCAATTGAATAACTTACCATAATGATGTGCACGTTATTTTTTTCCCTTGAAAAATGTTACACAGAGATCTGCGTTCTGCTTCTATGTTGTATATACTTATTAGATGAATGCAGACGAAAAGAATGAAGAAAAAATTAAATTTTCTTTCTTTCCTTTTAATAAAATGCATGTGCGCTGTTTTTTTCTCGTTTTATGATGCCTGAAACTGTTTTTTAAAGGTGAACTCTGACCAATAAGAAATGTGTAAAGATCAGGATTTTCGGCGAAAAAACTGGAGGCTACATAATAATAAACACATATTTCTCCATATATATATAACAATGGTTGATGGAGGACCTGCACGAGGATGTGACAGTTATTTCTTCCTTAAACATCTTGATTCACACGCTTATTCACACCCATACCCACACCCTTATCAACATAAATAAGTACTCTGTCTCAGGCAAGTTTAAGGACAGAGATGTCTGTTATTATATTTTAGTCAACATAAAAGTTTATGACAATTTCAGCATATAATAAGATTTACGTATAGTTCACATGTAAGAGAACACCTGGGTTATATTTAGGATAATTGACACATTCTTTAGGTGGTTGATGTGTTGAATCTGGGTCCCATCCAATTACATAGATACCACTTGGATTTTTACAAGCTACCCATAGATTATCAGCACCAGGCTGATCTGCCATAGTAATATTGGGTCCAACAAATCTTCCAGACCATGTTCCTTCAGGACTCGCTCGAAATAAAGAAACATCACTTGAAGATTGAGTCTTTCCTCGTTTCAGTACATATGATGGAAATTCTAAGCCAATTTGATTTTTCAAATAAAAGTTAGCACCATCAGTGTTAGATGACAGAATTCCGTTAGTTAAATTGAATATGATGAAACTTGTATTGCTAACAGCAACATCACCATTTTCAAGTGTTGTCAAGTCCTATTCACAACAACAACAACAAAAAAAGAGATTTATTTTCTATCTATACAAATAACCTGTTTACTCACCATTGTAAACTGTGAATAATACGGAATAAAAACATCGATTTTAAATGTTGTATTAAGAGTATACACGTATTCACGTTGCGCTTTTGTTAATATAACGCATGCAACAAGTAAAAATATTTTCGTGATCACGAACAAATTCATTTTGAAATTGAATAAATATTACTGATATAGTACATTTATATATACTTCACTATCTCTCTTTTTCTCTCTTAAAGGATATATACGGTTTTAAGTGGCACTTGAGTCCCTGAATATCGTATTTCAACAACGATCAACTCACTAATATGTACTTTTATTATTTTTCCATGGAGTAAAAAAAACGTTCGTTGAGTGCATAGGCACTGCTAGGTAAATTTCTTAGAGGAAGCAATAAGTCTTTATCGCTACCTCAAATGGTTTACGGGATGTAGTTGAATACCGAATGCAGCGAAGAACTATTTTTGGATTTGATTATTTATATTCAAACTATAATTATGTATATATGAATAGTCTTTGATGCGAAGAAAAAAAATACATTAATCATCATTCTGTCTTTTCAAGTGAAAAAGAAACAAATATCATCAGATTTTAAGTGTATGAATTAATATTCATACTTGTATTTTGTTTTAATTATGCAAATATAAATCAATATCCTAATAATTCAGTTTTACTTATTTTTTTCGTATTTTTAAATTTCAAATTGAAATCATACATTGACAATTTTCTTTCTCACATACTAGTCGCTGTAAATCAATTTCGTTTCTTTAATTGTTGGGTACTTGCCATAATGAAGAAGTTTTAAATGCTATTCTCAATTTATATTGAAGTTCATCGAGAAAAGATTTTCATCTAGTTTGATTATAAGTCTTATACCAGATCATTTATCAAGTAGTAAATCGATCAGACTATGTTTCAAATTGATTAGATTTCGTTTTTTTCAATTCCATTATTCTGCATTTTGGACTTACTATTGTATTAATACTTTAATTGGACGAGAAATGATTTATGAGAACAAAAATTTTGTTCTTCGATGGCACAGGTGAAAAATAAAATCATATTTCTTTTATAAAAATAGGGAACATAGACATATTTCATGTATTCTGTCCGATATGATATTATTATTGCGCATTCTATGTTTAGCTCTTCTCCCTCACGTTTTTGATAACAACGTGAACACGTGTATTAATATACAATTTACTTTTTAAAACAAACTAATACTTAAACGAAAAGTACAATTATCATTCATTTCTATGAATGATTTTAGTGTTGGATATGAGCGAAAGTGTACAGGCCAAGGACATATTCATCGTCAATTAATATAGCTTAGCAGCAGTAAAATGAGTATCAATGTTTCAATTATCAAAGTATTAAAATATTTTCTTTTTTTAATATTTTGAAATTATACGATTTGAAACCCTATCTGTATGATAGAAATAAGAAAAGTGATTTCTACACAATACTGCCTCATTTCAATTCGAACCGTGATCAGAAGTATAATTTTGAAGGTGAGAGTGTGAGTATGTGTATGTGTATTATAAAATAAAAATATACAAATATCAGAACTCAATAAAATAAAGAAAAGAACTTTTTTTTATCAAGATGAATAAGAAATGAATATAATATTCATCTAATTAAAGAAACTATTGAGAATGTGTGGGCGAACTTTTAGATTAGAGAAATCTCGATTTATATTATTTATTGAAATATGAACCGGGGTGGCGCGAGTCAGCCAACATGGGGGGGTGTAGCGTTATGTTTGTTAGAAAACCTAAGAAAATTTGCAGATTTTGTTGCGCAAAAAATAGAAATTTTCGAAGATTGGGGAGGGGGACGAGTGTTACACCCCGATACTCCCCCCTCCCGGTCGCGCCACCCCTGTTCATAACGCTAACTAAGATTATGTACTTATATCATAGAATCATATGTATAAACACTTCTAGATATTTTATTTCCAAGTTTTTGAAAAAGAAAAAATCAGTCGATTTATTTTATTATTTCTATATTAATTAGTTTTATACTCATTACTGTAAGTATAAATAAAGAGACACAGTTGATTAAAAAATAATTAGATGTTGTTTGATATTTTTTCCTTAATAATTCGATTTTATCGAAGCCATAACTATGAGAATTTATCTATTCATATGTGAATCATTGTATTTTTATTTTGCGTCATCATCGTTATATTATCAACTTTGACTGATCACTTTGTTGGTACGTAGTCAATGTGAATATGGAAAAATGTTTTGGCGTCGGTCGGTATCACATCCATCTTATATCTATGCTCATACTCAAACAAAGATCACATAACGGAATAATACATTATTACATTTTGAATGCAAATTAGGTAACTTCATGTTTCATTTATTTTCTACTTCTAGATTATATGAATATATATGGGGCTCGTATCGTCCAAGATTCATATGCTATTTGTTCTATTTATTTTAATTCTATTTACTTTATTATCTGGCTACATATACACAAACTACCAGTTCGTAACGACTACTTTAAGTACTCATACCTCATATTCTTCTAAGTTTAGTGACATTTTTCATCTAGCAGACGACTGGAAATCTGTTCGGCATACTTATATTGATGAACAAAATTTACTTCATGATATGTCTATTGTCGTTGCTGCATGGCCTGAACATGCTGAAGATAATATACCTACAGTACCATGTTTATCAGCCGATGGTCACTTGTTAGTGTTAAGTGTTGGTGCAAGTCGTATACGGTATGGAGTAAGTCTAACTTTTATCACAGTTTATCCAACCGATATGAAAACAGTTTTACCAAAACACATTTCATCTCATCCACTCTCGTCAAATCAACAGAGCCTCTGGTGTATATTCAGTGATGGATCCGTAACACCTGTCTACACTTATGATTCCAAATATTACGGTGAACGGGTATCTCTTTTGGATTGTTCACTTAGTCAATTTGCTAATGATCAGCTATGGAAACTGAATCAAACATTACGAGTTTATCTTGCATCAACAACAACAAAAGATAGAAAAATACCTATACTTAAAGCATTTATAAAAGTTCCAGTAGTTTCTATTACTTCATCAAATTCGAGTCAAGAATCTTTTACATTATGTACTTCACCTTTACATAACAAAGCTAACTATTTAGTTCAATGGATCGAGTTTCATCGATTAGTTGGATTTAGCAAATTCGTCATATATAATACAACTGATACTGATGATTATCTGTCAACTATTGTTAATATCTATACTCAAAAGTATCCTGATCTTGTTGATGTTGTACAATGGAATTTCTCTACTCTTGGTCTTGTTGATGTTTTACCGACACGATATTTTCAAACAGAAGCACTACATGATTGTCTAATTCGTTATGGTGATCAATCAGAATGGTTAGGTATGTTCGATCTTGATGAATACATTGTACCACTACATCCATACGAAACTATTGTTGATTATGTTCATGAAAACTTTGGTCGAAGAATTATAGGATCAATTAATTTGTGGAGTCAATTCTTTTGCAATAAAAATGCTAGTGCATATACTCCAGAAGAGAATGATACAAATCGTTTAACTATTGAACGATTTACTTTTCGTGCACGTAATCTATATAAAAGTGGACGTGAAAAGTATTTGTATCGGCCACGTTTCGTTCAATATCTATCAATTCATCAACAAGTAATTGGACTTTCCAAAGAACAATCATCAGAAAAACACATAACCCTTGCTCATTATGTATCGATGACTCGTCTACGTACAATGCCGGGATGTGGTTTTAACGAAACCGTTGAAGACAGTGACATTCGCAATCGATTCGCTAATAGAGTAAAAGATACAATAGCAACTTTGATGAATAAGCATTCAAATCGAACAATTCTATAAAAATATCTTAAAATTTTTTATCATTAAATATAGATTATTTCCTACTTTTATATTTCACGAAAGAAATCACGAACAAGATTATGGTAATATGTTAATTTTATCTATATTCGAGTAACATCAAAAATAAAGTTTGTTCAGAGCACAAGTTATTGTAATGAGAGCAGAATATTTTAAAATGAATAAACTTCAGTTTTATTGTTACAATTATCAAATATTACCATAGTAACGAAAACAAAATTGATCTTTATATCTTGTTTAGTTTCTTTAATTGATATTGAAATATATTACTTTGTAAGATGCTTAGTAATAATTTAGAAACAAATCTATTAGTCATATACTCACATTATAAAAAATGACTTCAATAATGATGTCATTGATCTGCTATTATTCGATTTTATTGTTTGTTTTTAGATTATTTTATTAAAATATTTCTCACGATAGAAAATGTATAGAAATCAAATGTTAAAAGTAGTAAGTTTGATCGTCATCATGATTATGCTATTCTATCTATTAAATATTCATTCAAAATCACTATATATTTTACAATCATGGAAGAACAAGACTATATTTAATGATTCTATAGAATGTCATATTATTTTACGTGAACGTAGTGGTCGACTTGGAAATCGTTTATTTATGTTTGCATCAGCCTATGGTTTGTCACTTAAACATTCATGTCAATTATATATAGATCGAAATATTATTGATGAACTTCAAACATCATTCGATATGAATTTAACAAGTTTATTATCAAAATCACAATTAAATAATTTACCTTCGATTACAAAAATAGAGAATCATTGTTCATATATTCCCAATGTTTTACATTCAAATAATAGTTATTCTATTGAATTATCAGGATATTGGCAAGTGCATAAATATTTTCTCGATTATATGGAACAAATAAAACAACAATTACGTTTTAAACAATCAATTTTAGATCGCGTCAATAATTTTCTCGAGAAAAATATCAATAAAAATGTTTCCACTTCAGTAGGCATACATATTCGACGTGGAGATTTTCTACTTGTTCGACGTGTTTCATCTAACAAATACATATTCAATGCAATGTCACATTTTCTAATAAAATATCATTCAGTTATATTTATTATAGTATCCGATGATAAAGAATATTGTCGAAAAACATTTGGTCAGAATAAAAATGTATTAGTAACACCTGATTCATTTAGTGCTGCTGATGATTTGGCTACATTGAGTCTATGTAAACATACTATTCTTACTGCAGGAACATTTGGATGGTGGGGAGCTTTTCTTTCACATAATAGATTAGGTGATGTATTAACTGATTCAAAATCGGATCATACTCCTATTGATTCTAATTGTCGACAAGATGACTATTTTCCATCATGGTTTTCATTTTTAAACAATACAAATTAAATTATTAAAATATTTTACCAAAAAATAAATATATTTGAATGTATTGTCTTTTCTAGATGGAACTTCGGATTACTTATTGTCGACTATTATTTATTTTTATATTGACTGTTATTAGCATCGCTTTAATCTTGTGTATTGATCCATCAAATTTAATTAAGTTTTCAATTCGTACAATCAATTATACTTTATTGAAAAGTAATGAACAATATACAACAACTGTTGTAATAGCATATTTTCCATTAAATAAATCTAAACATAATAAAACTCAATATCAATCATGGATTGAAAATCTATTAGGATTTTGTCAATCACCTATCATTATATATACATCAATTGAATATCAACCCATTCTACAATATCTTCGTCGAAATAATTCATTAAGAACTCATTTTATCGTGGAATATAATTCACCGCTTGAAATGCCACCAATAAAAAAACTTGTTCCTATCTTTGAACAACAATATCTCACTGATCCTGAACGTGCATATCACTCAATTGAATTATATGCTATATGGTGTGCTAAACCGTTTATACTGAACCGAAGTGCGGAACTTAATCCTTTTCAAACAAAATATTTTCTCTATATTGATGCTGGAGCTTTTCGATCTTCCAATTATCGTTTTCAATCGTGGCCGTACGAACCTTCAATTCATTCAATTCTTGCTAATAATAGACTTCTTCTTGGTATGATTTCTCCACTTCCTCGTCAGTTTTGTCCACTGTCATATACTATAGATAAAGGTCCTATTCGGCATAATCTTATTGAAGGTGGCTTGATTGGTGGTACGAGTGATGTTATTCACTGGTGGACATCAATTTTTTACGAAACGATCAATATTTATATTTCAAAGAATTTTTTCATTGGAAAAGATCAGTATTTAATGAATGCTATTGCACTTACATATCCTCATCGTATCAATATGATGCTTTCATTTCGTACCTCTTGTGGTGATGTATGGTTTGCGTTCGGACCATTACTAGCAAATCAAGCTGAGAAACAAAAATTGACTTTTTCAAAGACTTGTCAACATCAGAATCTATCTGAAGTTATTATTCCTTTCGAACATATTTGTATTGATCCTAGAAATGTTATATAACAGGTGAGTTAAACGAACTAAATATGTCTATATCTTATATATATATCCGATCTATTCATTTTTTTAGTAATATGGTTCCATGAACGTGATCTTTTATAGTTTTTAACAATTAATAAAGATATTGGTAAACCTCATTGTAATTTCTTCTAATGTTGACAGATCAAAACAATGTTTTCAATTCAAAATACTTCTGAAAAACAGTTATAATAACCATCTTGAGGGTGTGGATGTAGGTGTGGGGTGAGTGTGGGTGGGTATGAGTATGGGTGTGGATGTGGATCTGGGTGTGTATCTTGTTGTTATCTCACATCTACACCGACACTCTCACACCCACACCCTTCTATTTGATCGAATTCACATGTCAACTGTAGTATACATATATTTTTTATTGTAGTTTTAAAATTGAGTTACGTATAATAATACAGAACTTTTTCAACGTTTTTATGTTGTAGATAACAATAACCCTAGTAGTGATGAAAAGAAAACTTGAGAATGTAGATGTGGGCGTGAGTATTCAGTTCCTATTACACACTCATACCATTCCACATTCTTGTGTAAAGAATATTATTTTATTTAAAATATAAATAACAAATGTGAACTTAATTACTGTTCTTAAAATAGCGTTCAAGTGAAGGAACAATATCTTTTTTTCGACTGATTCTTGAGCCTAAATCGGCAATTCTATCTTGAACATTGACATTAAATGCTTTTTGAATAATAAATTTTTCTATTTCGCCGAGAATTATCATATAATTTCGTAGATTCACAATATCGATTACCGAAAAGAGAATACCAGTTAAATTACTTCTTTTCTTTTCATCAATCATTGCTTCAAATAATTCATCTTTACGTGTAAGTGTATTATTTGGATAAAATGTTTCTACTACGCCTACACCCCATAGTTGATTTTTAAATATAAAAGTTTTATAATCGAGAAAAAGTATTTCTCGCATCGTATAACTATTCAAATCACTTTTGGCAGCAAACATTTGATTAGCATACGATTCAACATTATCAATTTTAGCGATAGGCAAAAGATAAGTTACCATTAGCCGATCATCATCCGTTGTTGTCGGAGATCTATAGATAAATATAAACGATAATTTTTTGTTCAAATAAAAATCTTCAAATTTTTTTCTATACCGAAAATGAAGTGTATCACTGAGAATAGCACTGACAAGAAGTAATGCTATATTCTGATTGATACGAAATTTATTTTCACGATACAATTTTGTCAAAATTGTTGCTGTACATCCAACTGGTTCGAAACGTAGATAAATAGGTTCTAATGTTGTTAAATCGCCCAATCTATGATGATCAACTACATATGTTACACGCATCATTTTTAAATTTTCCATTGATTGTTGACCTAAAACAACAGATCAATAAAAAATATTTTCTCAAGTGATTCAATTTACTTTCATTATGATCTACTAAAGCAACTGCAGTTCCAGCAGCTAAATAACTTGGTAACATATCAGGTGGTTTCATACCAGCTCTTTTAAGTACAAATTTCGTCTCATTATTAAGATCACCAAGTCGATAAGCTTTAGCATTGATTTTCTTACGACGAAGAAAGTCTGCATAGACCAATGCACTAGTAATAGCATCTGTATCAGGATTACGATGACCGAATACGTAGACTTGACTTTGATTGTTGATGGTTTTTCTTGATGGAAATTTCTGTTTAGAAAATGTATTCGTAAATAGCGTATTATTTGAATGATTAGTAGCAAAAGTATATTTCATCAGCAAATGAACTAATATGAAAATTAGTTGCCATTTGAAGGTTACCATTATGATGCAGCAATATCAAATAGTAATAAATATTTTGGAAAAAAAATGTTCTGATAATAATCTAGAAAATGAACATAAATAAAGTTTTACTTTTTCTTTCGTAATTCATATATTATATTAATCTAGACAACAAATTAGCTATTCTATTTCTAATTAATTTTATAACTCATGCGTTCGATTGTTTAAATTGATCTGACTATTAAAATTCAAAATAGAGTTTACATTTAATATGAAACTGGAATCTATCTTTTTTTTGTAGTGTAATCTCTATAGAATTTTTATTATCAAATATTAAATCAGATGACGTACAAAATATTGAACTGACCTACTGAAATTATTCGGTATTTCGCTTAAAAAAATGACTAGATTGCACGACTGAAAAAAATCAATAACCAATAATTAGTATTTAATTCAAGTTTCAAAATAGTTCTTCACATTTATAGCATACGTATGAACGACGAATATCTATTGTTGATTATTTCGTTTTCGACGATAATGATTGACTTAAAGTTTATATTTTAGACTGAAACTATTATAATAGTTCACTCACTTAAAAAGGTTCGGTAATCAAACGAATTTCAGTTATACGATGTTATAGATTCAGTAGAATACATAAGTGCCTATATAAACGTAATACTGTGCGAGACACGTTTCTTTTTTCTCTGTGTCTGTGCGCAAAATATACGTATGCGTATACGAGCCGAATTATTTCACATTCACTATTTCTCTCTCTTTTCTTTCTTTTTTCTTATTTTGTACTCGTTCACATTTTCTCTTTCTTTTCTTTATGTATGCCTTTCATGTGCACATCATGGATTATTCTATTTCTCCTTCATCTATCGAGAAGATAAAAGATTACTATCGCTAGTATTTTTTTTTTGATAAAAATTGTCTTAATTAACAATATTAATCCTTTTGTTGTCTTTATATGAGATTTGTGAGATAAAATCTCGTTAAATCGGTTCATAGAACAAAACTATACTAAGAGATTTATCGAAATTATAGATAACAATGAAAGAGACACTCATAATTAAATGAGTTATTTATATGAACTTGTATTTGTCTATTTATCAACTACCATTCCATTCAAAACCGTTCTATGTTGTTTATAGACTTAAAGTAGAAATGTTACGAGAAGGATCATGACCGGTAATAGCATAAGCTAGAAATTCTAGTATAGAAAGAAGTACTGATTCTAGCGGTGAACAACCAGTCCTTATACCATTTACAATACGAGTAATCAACGTATCATATGTATAAGTAAATATAATTGCACATGAACAATTATCATCTGAAAATAGGACAGGTGCTAAATGCTAGTTACTCATGAAAACATCCTGTAAACCATTGTTATATGTCAAATCACGTATAACTTCAAGAGATGGAACAAATGTGAGAGAATACGATATTTGAAGATTATACAAAAGAGAATCAATAGTTGAATAAAATTCGTCATACGACAAACGTTCAGTAGCGATATATGAGCTGCAAAAATAATGATTTACTGCATTATTGACTAATACATTCGCTTCCAAACAAAATAGATTAAAAAGAGTGCGGGTGGGTGTCTAGCTACTGTCTTGATTACCCACATCCACACTTTTCCAAGCAAACTCCGAATTGTGCTTCGATACTCTGAAACCTATTCGAACATTTTCGACCAAATCTCATCATTTCAGGAGCCGGAAAACATTCGTTACGGATCCGGAGTCCGTTGATTCTCTTTTGTTAAAAAGGTACACCTTGGGCTATGATGGAGACAAAATGAAAAAAATAATGATAAGATAAGAAGGATGAGAGTGCGAGAAAATTCAGACGTAGAGCACAGTTTTGCACTACCATGCTCACATATAAAATTTATTATACTAAGATACGAATATAACAACACCTTTGATGATGAAAATAATATTAGTTGTCTTCTTCTACTTACGTGAGAGTAATAGGCAAACAGAAACTAGCTTCGAACAATAGTGTGTTCTTTTTTTTACGTTTAAACTTCATCTGAAACATAATATGCACGCCAATCAAGCTTACAAAAAGGGTGTTACTGTAAATAATGGATCAGACAAATGGTGGCACCGCCGCTGGGTTAAAATAACCGGTATTTCCGTTATTGTTTTAATAATTGTTGCTGTTATTCTTGCTCTGGTATTAATCTTCGTCGTTTTTGCACCAAAGAAATCAGAAACTCCGCAATCAGGTAAACTTCATAGTAACGTTTTCCGATCTTCTTCAATGGTACCTTTAAATCAAGTCTAAGTAGTTGCTTTGCATCCAACAGTTTTCTATACCTAATTAAAAGTTACATTAAAAGAACAGTGATCTTTTTTATCTTCGTTTGATCTCACTATATACCCTAGTTTTAAGTATAAAGAGAACAGGAAAAAATCATTTTGTCCCAAAGGAGTGTACGGAAATGCTAGTCAACTCCCCTTCTTTCTCTTTCATGTGTAAATGCAAATAGCTGTATATGATGAAAACTGCATTAATTCTTATAAACATTGTAACGACAAGCATAAAATATACACCTATTTCATATGTCATCCTCGCATACAATTCTTTATCAAAAATACGAAACTTTCGTAGCGTATCAAGAACAATTTTTTACAACAAACTTAAGATTTTTTGCATTCTCCAAAAAGTTTGAAAAACTTAGTATTAAACGTAAGAAACGATTTTCTGTTTAGAATGGTCTGTTACCGGTAATATGAATACTGCACGACTTTTGCATTCAGCATCCATATTACCAAATGGAAAAGTATTAGTTACTGGTGGTACATCCAATGCTTATAATTTTTTAAATAGTGCTGAGCTGTATGATCCATCAACAGGCATTTGGACAACTACTGGTAGCATGATTAATGCACGATCTGAACATACAGCCTCTGTATTATCAAATGGAAAAGTATTAGTTACTGGTGGAGCTGATAATAGTGGTGTTTTAAATAGTGCTGAGTTGTATGATTCATTAACAGGTATTTGGACAACTACTGGTAGTATGACTTCTGCACGGAGTTCTCACACAGCATCTACATTACCAAATGGAAAAATATTAGTTACTGGTGGAGCAGGCAGCAGTGGTATTGGTTTAAATAGTGCTGAGATTTATGATCCATTAACAAGTACTTGGACAACTACTAGTAACATGAATAATGCACGAGAATATCACACAGCATCTGTATTATCGAATGGAAAAGTATTAGTTACTGGTGGATTATTCATTGTTAATTATCTAAATAATACTGAATTATATGATCCATCAACAGGCACTTGGACAGCAACTGATAGCATGACTAGAGTACGAGGCGGTCACACAGCATCTGTACTATCAAATGGAATAGTATTAGTAGCTGGTGGATATAGCAATAGTGGTTTTTTAAATAGTGCTGAATTGTATGATCCATCAAAAGGTACTTGGGCAGCTACTAGTAACATGACTAACACACGCGGTATTCACACAGAATCTGTGTTATCAAATGGAAAAGTATTAGTCACTGGTGGACGGAGTTATAATGCTTTATATAGTACTGAGATATATAATCCATCAACAGCTACTTGGACAACTACTAGTAACATGAATAATGCACGAGAATATCATGCAGCATCTGTATTATCAAATGGAAAAGTATTAGTTACTGGTGGAGCTGGGAAGTCTGCTAATTTAAATAGTGCAGAATTATACTAATTGTTTCAAACAAATTAACTTTCACTTATCTTTTTTTTTTTCTGTGCAAGTAATGCAAATTCTGAACAAAACTTTAGTTACAAAAAATGTCAGCTTGTGACGTTCGCTAACTTTTCCCTTTCATATTTTTACTGGATTGGCACACACTTTAATATTCAAATCCAAATAAAAAATATGTCTTTATTTCTTTACTTCTCTAGATTAATTTATTAGGATCAACAAAATTTACAACTGATAAATATTTATTTATGTTAGGAACGAAAGTCTTTTCGTAAAAATCAAAATACTATTCGAAATTTTCTAATTTTCATCAAAATAAATCTTATAAACGAACAAACAATATCTTGAGGATGCGTGTGGGTGTGAGTGGAATAATTTGAAAGTCGAGTAAATGTTAATACTCGATTACTCGAATATTAAACTTTTAGAAGCTTAAAATTCGGAACGAATTAACGAGTTCTATACTACTGACTTTCTTTCGCGTCATTACGGTAGCGACTATATATGGAACAAAATCTTCAACCAAATTAGTTCTGATATGAAGCAAGAAAAAAAACAGTGAATTTGATTTTGTTTGACGGAAGATTGTAAAACCTATTCTAATTTATTCAATACGGTTTTGATAATTACCGTGTGATAAAAAGTAAAAATATGTTTATTGTAACACATAATGTATAAATGTTTGATAAGTTATGATTCACATTGATACATGTGTCTATAATTGTTATATATATATATATAAGAACGACAAAAGAGTATTGTATTCATTTTTCAGTATTCGTTTTATTTCATTCTATATTGACGTTCTTTTAATAAACCAACGCAAAGATACAATGTTTTTTCTTATCTACAATAAAAAACAATATATTTAAGCACATGCAGACTAGATAAATATATTTTTTTTTTGTTTTAAACTAACGAAAAAAGGTAAGCATACATTGTATATAATCAGTCGCTTAACATTTATTATATACATTGATAAAAATTGAAGGTATTTTTTGTAAGTTAATTTTATTGTCTCATAATATTACATTCAGAATATAAATGTGAGTAACAGAGGTATCAGAATATTATCTTCATCAGTTTTTTTACTACAATCTTGATAAAAATATTTGTTAGCTATCATTCTTTTTCATTTTTCATACAAAAATTTCAGAATCGGCGATATTTAGTATATAGAGCAACATATTCCGTAATTTTCATAAATGATTTCTGTGATATTCAATAAGAGTAATTTAGTACGTGATATTGGTTTTATGCAATTAGATTGGTAATAGAACACGTTTTTTCAAAGCTCGTCCAATTAGACTATCTTATTAATCAACAATGTAAGTAACGGTATAACAAGACGCGCAAGTTCATTAATCATTATGAAATAAGAAATATTATAAATTTAAAAAAAATTTGTTTTTAGATATTTTATAGTTTAGTTATATCCTAAACATGTCGCCGATAAATACTACAACAGAAGAAACAAAACAATTACGAGATTTATATCCAGAAATCCAACCATATAAAACTGGTATGTTGAAAGTATCTGAAATTCATACTTTATATTATGAAGAAGTCGGAAATCCTTCTGGTAAGCCAGTAGTATTTGTACATGGTGGACCAGGTGGTGGTTCAGTTTCAAGTGATCGACAATTTTTTGATCCAGAAGCATATAGAATTATACTTTATCATCAACGTGGTGCTGGTGATTCAACACCACATGCATGTTTAGAAGAAAATACAACATGGGATTTAGTTGAAGATTTAGAAAAATTACGTAAACATGTTAATGTTGATAAATGGGTTGTTTTTGGTGGTAGTTGGGGATCATCATTATCTTTAGCTTATGCTGAAACACATCCTGAACGTGTGAAAGCATTAATATTACGTGGTATATTCTGTTGTCGTCGAAAAGAATTATTATGGTTTTATCAAGAAGGTGCTTCAATGATATTTCCTGATGCATGGGATAAATATTTAGAACCAATACCTGTTGGTGAGCGTGGTGATTTAATGTCAGCATATCATCGTCGATTAACTGGTAACAATGAAGAAGAAAAGTTAAAAGCAGCTACAGCTTGGTCAGTTTGGGAAATGGCAACATCACGTTTATATGTTGATCCAGCGTCCATCGCTCGTGCTACTGATGATGCAAAATTTGCTGTTGCTTTTGCTCGTATTGAAGCACATTATTTTGTAAATGGAGCATTTATGAATGACGATGAACAGCTACTTAAAAATGCTGATAAAATCAAAGATATACCAGGTGTTATAGTTCAAGGTCGATATGATGTTGTTTGTCCAGCTCGTTCAGCGTGGGATCTACATAAAGTTTGGCCCAAAGGTGAATTACATTTTGTTGATGCTGCGGGACATTCAAGAAAAGAACCTGGAATTATTCATCAATTAGTTATTGCAACAGATAAATTTCGAGATTTATAAATCATAAAATATGATATACATTTGATTATTATCTGTATCTTTTTTTCTCCTTTGATTGCTTTATTACTTCTGTTGTATTATGTAGAAGTATTTTGTATTCTTATGCAAATTTTCAAAATAAAATAAACGAAATCTAGAGGTATGAGTTCAATTTATTTCTATATCGGTTATCGAATAATTTTGAAAAGAAATCATTTCAAAACAAAATTCGAAAAAATACAACTTTTGCTTTGGTGTGAGTTTGGGTAATGAATGAGAATAATACACACACACACACCCTAAAGATACGGACAAACGTAATTGGATGATAGAAATAGTATTATTTTTAGTTATATATATATGAGACAATGGAAACAACAAGTATTGTACTAAGTTCAGAAAGAGAGATTTTACATTTCGACAAATTCAACCGGTCGTATTTATAAAATGATCATTAAGACGGTCATTCAACATTTTTTTTTGATTAAAATTTCTTTATTTACATGATCGATTTTTGTTGACTATATGCTTACAATTTGTTTTAGTCAAAATTGATATCGATCCTCTATCAAATCGTTACAATCAGAAACGATGTATAGTTTATCACAAGAGTAAAATTCATAAAATGACTATTTATTAGTGTGCCACTTGTAATAGAAAATCAGGTCTTTGTTTTATAGATTGTTTTGAAAATTTTCATTTTACTCTTTGTACATAAAATATGGATGGCCGCCATTATAATATGTTTTAGATCTCTCTTCTTTTTCTTGAATCACACCATATGATAGACAACGTTGTATCAAGAATGAAAAAAAAGAAAGGAAAGAAAAAGAAATGTGTTAGGACAACGTCTGCAATAACATCATACTTCGTTCTCTTCCATTTATACAAATATATATGCATTGCATATACATCTAGTTTGCAAGTAATTTTTTGTGTGCGTGTTCTATTTATTATTAAACGGTTGTTTGCCACATTTTTGGAAAGAACGAGCAAAAGAAGAAGAAAAAACAAGCAAAATTTCGAAGTACACGTGTGTTGAAAAACGAATAGAATGATAGAAAATATATAACAAGCGGTATAGATTGATTTAACAAGAAAAGGTCTGTTTATTTTTTTCAAATTTTAATAAACAAATTTAGCTGTAATGAATAGATATTTCAATACTTATACTCATTCGTTTGGTTATGAGAGGACCACATAGTGACAAATAGACATGCGTCGCCATTTACGCAATAACCGTGTAATGGCACGTCGACGGCGACATCTGATTTTTCTCGTACTCGTTTTATTCGCATTCTACTTTTTCATTTGGCGTCCAGTTCTCGCTGACTTTACTCTGATTGGTATCTGGAAAGTACGTAACTATGTTCACCAAAATCATCACTGGATTAGCCATTTTTTACTAAACCGTTCTCCTTGTTTTATGCGCAAGCATCCATTTCTTTTCGTTTTGTCATCAACGACTACTGATCTCGTTTGGGAGATGTCATGTTCTTCTTCACATAACATAAGTGTACAATGGTATACTATCGATATCAATACTCCAAATAGCACGCATCAGTACTTCTCGATTATTGTTCAACCAATTCGTCTGGACGAAGTACATTGGACGTACCGTGCTCATCTCGGATCTTTAAGAGCAAACACACGGTATCAGTACAAAATTTTTGCAATGGACTATGAAAAACGTACGTGGCTTTATTTAAAAAATGAATTCTTTTGGGTGGGTGATAGTAAAAATGAAACACTTCATATCGGCTTGATTAGCGACAATCAAGCTGGTGTTCGTGCCTTCATGGGTATCTTACATTCTCTTGTCAATCTTCCAGCATCGTATCCTTCACAATATCTAACACGCTCCAGTGCCAAAGTCTTTCCACACTATCTCATTCATGTTGGTGATGCAGTACAATCTTATGACTCTCTAGACGAGTGGCAAACTGAATTTGCCGATCCTCTGTCTTACGCGTGGAGTAGTGGACAAGGAAATTCTCCACCACCAATACTCTATGCTCACGGTAATCATGATCAAGATATAAACAGTCGATACATATACACAACGGGAGAACGGCAAGGTAAAAATTGGTTCAGTACAACTCTTGGTGCAGCTCATTTAGTCGTACTCGACTCGCAACCACTAGCTCAGGCTGAAACTCAACTCGACTGGCTCCGTCGAGAAACTCATATGGAGGCATGGATGCAGGCTTCATTTCGTATTGCCATTGTTCACATTGCACCTTTCATCGAATATTGGGATCCACGTGCTTGGGAAGAACTTGGTGAGAAATACTGGGGAAAGTATGTGCAAACGAAACTAGTACCGATTCTCATGGATAGTGGGGTTGATTTAATTATCAGTGGACATCAACATATCTACTCACGAGGATGGATGTCGAATGAAGTGGGCAAAGAACTTATCAAAGATGAGTTTGACATCAGTATGAATAGCAGTGACAAGCGTCAACGTGTGCGTGTGATAGCGAATAGTTGGAAGCAAAATCGTGTTTTACAAGGCAAGGACAATTTAACTTACTATATCGATCATCTTCAAAAAGGTGCGATGATGACAGTGATCGGTGGAGCTGGAGGTGAGCTTGATTCAAAACAAGTAGAAGACTGGGGCTTCTATGAGAAGACCGTTCTCGGACAACATCACTTTGCAATGATCACGCTGAATAATGAAGAGTCTCGCTTGATATGGAGAGCGTACGATGCGAATAGCCAGTTAATAGATAAATTTGATCTCATACGATAACTGGCATACCTCACAATGGAATCCTTTGTATTGCTATCAAATTATCACTCTCACCAGCAAACATACAAGTTTAAAATCCGATTTGTCGATAACAAACTTGGATCGAGATCATCAACTTTCAGATATTCACATTTTTGGTACCCAAGCATACTTTCATGAAAACTGATACGCAGCAACGATCTGTATGAACATTTTTCAAATTAGAAGAAACTTTTTATGTAACTATTCATTTATTGATTTTTTTTGAACGTTCCAGAAAAATTACATTTTCATTGTCAAGAATAAATATAAACTATTGTATATACATTATCACATATTTGAAAAAAAGTATTAAACAAGAATATATAAAAATAATAATCAATTTCCAAATTGTTTAAAACTTTCATAAAATCTGTAATCAATATTATTGTATTATTATAATGTGGGTGTTGTATATAATCTCCAACCACACTCTCAAATATAGATCCTCTAAAATACAATATTCTTAGTGTCTGAAAACCACTTTACAATTCAATTTAGATTTAATTCTATAGGAGAATTAGTGTTTTTCAATAAATAGAAAGTTAATGCAAAAGGAAAAGAAAGAAGATGTTTTCTATTGATATAAAAATATATTTTTTCTTGGAAAATATTATTTATGCAACGTGTTTAAGTAAAAAAGAATAATTTGTACAATAAGGTTGTATGAGTATACTCATACTTTTTTAACTTTCATATTGTATTGGAATCTCCAGAGAAGTTCTTTACTCAAATAATTAAACTCTAAATTATATGAGTTAAAAATTATGTATGTCTGAAAAGAAAATTTATGCATAGTTTTGAGATCAACTTCAATGATTAATTTATATTTGAAATAATTACGTTTAGCAAATTATATATTTAATACTATAAACAATGATTGATGTGATAAAATAATTATATTACTACGTATCTTTATTTTGATTTTCGATTGAAAAATGTCTAGCACTAAATATATATCAAAGGCTGTCTGACAGCAAAATACGATAACAGTAATTGGTTTGACATCAGGTGTATCAGGATTTAATTCATTAATGTTTAATAGAACAAATTATGTATACATCGACAAGAATAATATTATTTCTTTTTCAAATACTGAAAACTATCATTTACAATATCAAGGAAGTTTTTCTGTTATACTCATGGCTGGCAACAATAAAATTAATAATAATATAAATCAAATCAATTTGGTTACTGGAGTATTAATTGATGTAAATTATGAATTGCTAATACAGGATATAATCATCGCATAGTAAAATTGTCATCACCAACGACAAATTTGGTAGTTTGTGGAAGCTTCAGATCATATAATGGTCAGATGACTACTAAGTCAGATTGAACCGCTCTAGTCTTGATATGATGGATTAACTATTCGAAATAAAATTCTTATCTGTAAGACCGATTCAGTGCAACTTGTAGTGATTATGAGTAATCAACTCATTCGTCGAATTTCTTTCAATCAGAATTTTCTTTCTGCGAATTTTGTTGGATTTTTCTCTATTTTGACAGAGTGAAAAGTAAATATAATACATTTCTACTACCGTCTACAGCCATTAAAAAGTGTTTACTTTAACATGATGACGATGATATTATTGCATATGTCCATTGTTAAGTAGCGATGTGTTCTCTTTTCTCGGATTTTTGGACTTTTTTCGTAAGATTTTTTATACATATAGAGAGAAAATCAGGACTTTTTAGACAATACCATCGTCGTCTGTTTAGTAAGGAAACGAACCTTACACCCATGTAAGTACTTCCTTTTATCGTCATATATATTAAAAAACCAATGAGATGAAGCAATGATGAGCTTTCCATCAACCCTCTACTGGGTGGCTGAGAGTGTGGGCATGAGTAGGTAAGATGTTATAGATCCACCCATTCTCAAGATGATCTCTTAAATGTTAATCTACTTCGTTCAGCTCTTATACTCGCTCTAAGTACAGCCTTTTTTTATGTTGTACAGCTAAAATTTAATTAATCAATCTATTTCTCATGTCTACGTTCTTTTCAGATTATTACAATTATTCATTGAACGAAATCATCATCAATGGCAACAAATTCGTCATATTCTGGAAAAGTACTCATTTGTGGTAGTCATGCTTGTGCCAAATGCGGCTACTGCCGTGATTGGTACTAGAGCTCTAGTGGTAAAATGAAAAGATATACAAAGCGTCCTGCTGCCACCTGTACTGCTAATTATGCTTATGGTCTTTCTGGTTATGGTTCTGGTTGTCGAGGCTGTGCTCTTTGTTGTCTTCATCATATTCCTTTTGTTCAGAGTTTTGCTTGTTGTTGTGGTGGTAAGTATTATGGTGGTGCTGGTTATAGTCATGGTACTGGTCTTCCTCTTAATGGTTATCTTATTGGTGGTGTTGACTATCACATTGATAAGCTTGCTGGTGTTGATTTTGCTGCTCGTCGTAATCGTAATATTGCTGCTGGTCTTTTTGATAATTATGTTGCCCCTGGTCTTGGTATTGGCAATATTGTTAGTGGTGTTGCTGATAGCAGTGATGGTACTCTTAGTAAACGTATAGCTCTTCATCGTGATCATCATGATTTTGGTCGTTTGTGTGAGTGCAGTGACAACCAGCAGTAACTGTTCTTCAAATACACTAAAAACTTTTCTTGTAATTTTCCATATTAGCTGAAGAAATACATCATTGTAAGTGAAAGATTATACTTCTGTTGTTCAATATAGAAAAACCTAACAAACATGTCACCAGTGTTCGTTTTTGTTATTTAACAATTATATTACATATCAGATATGTATGGTAATGATTGTTAGTTTCTCTCGATTGTTCAACGAGTTCGAGCTTGATGATCATTATTCTTTTGCTAAGGGTGGATGTAGATGTATAGTAATTCTTACACTATTATCTATCCATTCACGCTCACATCCATCTCAAAGTCTTGAAGGTGTAGGTGTGAGTGTGATTGAAACATGAATATAATACCTAAACTCACTGATATTCACATCGATATTAACGCTCACCAACACCCACTATATAATGGATGTTTTTTTACAGTAACACATCTTTCTTTTTCTATTCTCTTTTCAAAATTTCTCTATGTTTCATAGTCTTTCTATTAGATATTTAATTATTTAGAGTCGATACGATTGATTATATTGTATAAACATATTTTGTAAGTATTTTTCCTAAATAGTTGTTTTTTTGAGAAGCATTAATTTAGAAAACATCAGAAGTAAAATGATCGTGTATGAATTCAATTGAGACAGGTGAATTTCAAGATCAGACAGTTTTACAATTACATTGAAAATTCGTCGTTGTTTTTTTTTCTATAAAATATTATAAATGACAAAACAAAAGATTCGTTTATATTTTCTATTGTCTTTTATATATTTAGTTTGTCTTAGAAAAAGCGATAAAAATATTTTGTATCTAATTACAATAGACAATATAGAACTCTAAATTTCTAGTAATAAATGAAGACAAAACAAAAAAGAGTCATAGTTGGAAAGTATACTAAAAATCGAATATTTTTGTTAGTTTTTATTCTTCTCATGGTTTATGTGATCCAATGAAGGTTTTTTTAAATCAGCAAATGGTGCTCGATTACTCTTATATCGTGGCGATGCTTGACCAAACATCAGTTGACCTTGAATGACTTCTTTATATCCACGTAAAATAATACCGACATCTTCATTATCAGGAAATTCTTCAATAATTAATATTTCCAATTCAAGTATTTTACGAATAAGATCATTACATCGTTGAATACCTTCGTTAACAGCTTCATCAAACGTCATTGTTGTAGTTGAAAGAAGAACAGCAAGAAAATTACTTGATAAATGATGTTCAATACATTCCTTGGTATAGGAATAAATATCATTGCTAATCGCTATATGTTCACAGATTAACCAACGAATACGTACAAAATATGGATGAGAAATAATCTCATCTGATAAATATCTATATATAATACAATTGAAAAAGAGATATTTCTTAAAAACTAGTGAAAACAATCCTTTACCGTTCATGAGCAAATTCAATATTGTCCAATGTTGCAATCACTCCTGCTTCAATTAAACGTAATTTAAGGAATTCATCTATTGATAGATGTCGAACAGCAACACCATCATGATTAGATTTAGCAGTAGCTTCGAACCATTCTAAATGATTTTTCATTACTCGATTAAACCAACTAGATTGTGCATTTTTTTGCATTTTAAGCAAAATATCTTGAAGAAATGTCAAATTCATTATTTGTGATTCATTAAATTGTTCGATTTCAATTTTCTTATGTGGATCTTGAAAAATTTGTCTCATTGCTTGAGTAAAATGTAAATCAACACGTTCTGATTTATCGTAAAAGTCGTCAATAAACCAAACACTAGCATAAAATTCTTCAAGTAATTCGAGACGATATTTAGATGCATGTGGATAAACAAAAGCAGGAAAAATACTATAACCATCGATACCTTTAGTTAATGGTTCCTCATCAATTGGTAAATCTTGATGCTTGAGAACTTTTTTGACCATCTTATTACGAGCGCTTCTATGATTTGGATTTATAACTTGCGATGGATAAAATATATAGTCAAATTTATCAAATAAAGTAAACTTCGTATTTGGCTGTTTGATTTTGTTGTATGTCCATATTTGTGGTTCAAGGCTAACACGTTGTTTTATCTTATACTGAGAGAATAGTTTGATAAATACTTTACTTATATACATACTTGAATTATAGTACACCAATCATTTATACATTATTTTGCTTTAGAAAAAACATGCGAAAATATACACTAAAAATATAAAACCGTATTGAATGACGTCACCACACTAATCGAACGATGGATTATATTTTTTACAGGTATGTTTTGATCTATGTATAGTTGCATATGACTAATACCACGTTTTATCAAATGATGCATAATATTTTTCTATTTATATAGATAAACTTTGGCTCGCGCGCACTTTTATGATGACGATAATATATGGTGAGATAAAAGAGTTTATTCGATAGTATTTAATATTTGAAGAATACTTATATGAAAGAAAGTTCTTAAGAATAACTTGAACATTTAATCTAAATTTTATATTAATTAAAATACTATAGAGCGATTTTTTTTCGTATCCAAATAAAATAATTTCAGAATATTTTATATGATAATTTATAATATTGATTAATCGAATTCAGACTAAACTCAACGTGTGTTTTTTTCTTCAGTGACAGTCAACTTAAAAAATCTTTACCACGAAATAAAAAATAATAGAAAAGTATTTTGATAAAATATTGGCTAGTTACTTTATGAATGTAACTTTTATGGTTGATGAGTCATTATGAAAATGACTCATCGTTTGAGTTGTATACATTCTACCCTTGAATAAGAAAGGATAAATGAGGAAAAAAATGATATAACATTTACCATAAACGTTAGAAAGTATCAGTTCACTAAAGAGGGTGTGGGTGTGAGAGTATAGAGAATATCAAAATCGCACACCCATTCTTATCTAACAATCAACGGAAATCCATGGGATCTACGGAGAATTTGAAAATTCAGGACCTACTATTTCTAATTGAATGGAAGTTTCTTCGATATGACTACCATCGGATGAAGAAAAATCATGTATTGTTGAGGGTATCAAAAGACGAGATATCTTCACACTAAAGTCGCTTGTGGTCAACTAATCGATTTTGTACAATCCTAATGCAAAACCGAGATAAACATTTTCATCTGCTATCGATTTGTGTCAAATTGGCCGATCAACAATCTTAATAATGACTAGTATATGAAGAGATTGTATCTTCTACTTTTAAAGTTTCTTAGAAGAGAAATACTTGATGCAACAAAACATACATATATACTTTAGAATGTATCTAATTTTCATATATTTACCATATATATCTTGATGATGTGTGCATGAAACTTATTACATACTCTCCAAATAGGTTTTAATATCTTATTTTATTTTAAAATAATAGAGTTTATTATTACTGATTTTTCATATTAATAATTACTACCATTATCGAGTGGTTTGTTGTCTGCGATTGGTATATAAATGACACACACACTCTCAGATATTTTTTCAATTTTTGAATACAGATATGAAAACAACATTTAAACAAAAAAAAAGCAAGTAGTATTTATTATAGTTGTGCATTAAAATCATTATACTTTGGCTATATACGGTGCATCATACATAAAACTACAAGTTAATATATTTGTATATATCAGCTTGCAACAAAAACATGGATAATCACGAATTCATGAATCAGGAACAAAAATATGATAATGAGAAGGTTTTCACAATACCCTGACAAGGATCACCAAAAAATGAATTAGAAGCAGAAAACGAGTGTGTATTATTTTTGTTAGCAAAATATGAAATGAGAGTTTGAGTTACGTTCATTATCGTACAATTACTTGGTGCGCAACTACACGTTGAAAAATTTCGAACACCATAAAAAGCATCAGCGATATTTATCGTTGGAGTTGGCGCAACACAGCTGATTGTTACCTGGGAGTTTTCTGTTAAGTTACCCGTTGTTTGATATACTAAAAGATAATGATTCCAAAAAAAGACAATACAGAAATAAATGATATACCTGCAGAGACTGTGCCTGTAGTGGTTGATGTTGTAGTACTTGTTGTTGTAGTGGTTGATGTTGTAGTACGTGTTGTTGTAGTACTTGTTGTTGTAGTGGTTGATGTTGTAGTGGTTGATG